ATCATCAAATAGTATGGGCAAAAGTCTTTGAAAATGAAATTGTGGATTGATTGTTGATTTATTGTTAAATATATTTCTTTTATTCCTTATTTTATTTCAATAAGACCCATTTCTATATATGGATTGAGCTGATTTCATTGCATAATCAATTCATTCGATAATGCTTTATGATTCAGTCATTGGAAATTGCCATAATGATAAGCTTTATTATATGATTGGTTATTATAATCTTATTCCACAAAACGAAGTTGCATTATAGTCAGTTCAAAATCAAAAAGTTGTTCTATATAAGAACTAAAGGAAGGGACCAAGCCTTCCAAATGATATGCATAGCTGATCCATGTGAATAATTCTAAGCTTATATGCAGTTAGCTTTGGATTTGGATTCAAGTTCTTCAAGTCAGCTTGACAGAGCTCAGCATGCTTCAAGACATATCTAGCCCATATAGATCATCCACTGATCTAATACGTTAATCAAATAGTTTATATAAGCATAATTAGTGTGAAAGAAAGGCTCGCCCCATCTAGTCCAATTTTTCACAAGAATATTTCGTGTTCGACTTGCTGTTCGAAAGGGTTCACTCTATAGATTTTGCTTTGTTTCGGATTGTTGTTGTTGCTGCTGCTGCGGCTGCTGCTGCTGGTGTTGTTTGCTGGTGTTTTTGTTGCTTGCTGGCTTAGCTGCGTCACAGAAAACACACAACTTCCGCTTTCTTTGGCAAAAACAATAGAAAGCACATAAATTTATGGTCTCAGCATTGTGCTTTTGACATACAACCATGTGAGAGGGGTAAGAGGGATGGGGTGGGTGAGATGGGATGGGTGAGGGGAGTGCCTGCGCTGGGATTGCTGTTGTAACGTTAAGGGGTTAATATGCCTGCAACCGCAAACGGGATTCGGATTTGGGTTTGCCTATGTGAGGGTTGGACTTGAGTTGACTTTTCTTATAAATAATTTTACTAAATGGATTTGGTATAAATGCTGACATTAAGAATGTGTGTGTATATGTCTGTGTGTGTGTGTCTGGTAGCTGCTTGAACTAATTACCTGCAAATTTATTTCATTTTTGTTTTGGCAGGCAAATTCTGTTTACCAAATGCAACAATCAAAATTGGCTAAATTGAGAGTTGGCTCTATAACGGTATTTATATACACTTATAGAGTGTGTGCATGTGCGTGCGTGAGTGTGTGTGTGTGTGTTTGCGAATGTTGTGCTGGGCCAAGTTTAATGGTTTTTTGGGGCATTTTCTTGCAGCTGTTTCGCTTGTGGTTGCCATCGCTGCTGCTGCTGCTGTTGTTGTTGTTACTGTTGTTGTTGTTGTTGTTGTGGCTGTACGTTTCAAAATTTATGTTTGCTGGCTATGAAAATGAAATGACTGTGGTAAACATTTTAATTAAATCCAAGTTTGGCTTCTGCCTTCGTTACAACAATATATTTTGTTGTTGTTGTTGTTGTCGTTGTTGCCACTTTGTTGCCCTTCCGCCCACTTGTCTCTCTCTCTCTCTCTGACTCTCTCACTTTCTCTCCTTCACTCGCTTCTATTTTATATACACAAACACTGTTCTTTACACTTTTTGTTGTTGTTGTTTTTGTAGCAAATAAATTTTAATTTTATGTTGGCCGCGTTTTAATTTGTTGTCCACTTTTTGTTTCCTTTTTTTTTTGCCATTCTTCATTTGTATGTATATGTATATATTTTTATTTATTTTTGTTTTATTTTTTTATTATTGTTTTCTGCGCTTTTATTCGCATTTACACTTTATGCATGTGCGCATTTATTTTGTTTGCTAGCTTTTCTATTGGCTCTAGATGCGGGTGGGTCAAGGGGGCGCTGGCCGTGGGGTGGGTTGGGCGTAACGCTGACAGCCGGTCAAGTGACAGTTGCCACTGTATACACAGAAAGACAGAGAGAGAGACAGAGAGAGAGAGAGAGAGAGAGAGAGAGAGCACGCACGCAAATATGAAATGCAAAACAAACTTTGCAGCTGTCACTCAAAAATGAGCGTCGCAGCGGACGACAGCGAACAAAGCGATGCAATGCACACGAGCTGTAGCAGGGGGCGGACTGTGTGGTGGGAGAGGGGGCAGCTGTGCACTGAGAGAAATGTGAAATGGTTAATTGGGCGGAAAGGTATTTGGGTATGCGAAATGGCTGTCGCTCTATAAAACGACGAGTTTTCAGTGCCCAGCAGCAACAGCAGGAGCAGGAGCAGGAGTAGGAGCAGGAGCAGCAGCAACAGCGACAAAGTGGGTTAGAAAGGTAAATGAAAGGTTGACGGACAGTTAATTTCGGGCAGTTGATTGAGTTATGAGCTCTGCACACACTGCAAGAAACCAACAGAAAGAGAGCGACAGTCAGACTGAATGAGAGAGAGCGAGACAGAGAGAGAGAGTGATGGGGCAGGGTAACTGGTGGCAGCTGTTTGCGTATATACGATTTTCCATTTTGGCATATGTGATATGCGTGAATGGTGCGGATATATGACAGATGCTCGCAATGGATTCACAATTCAAATCTGTTGCAACATCGACTGAACAATGCCGAAGCAGTGAAACTTTAAAAGATAGCGAAAAACTTATATTGCGAATATGAGAGAGAGACAGAGAGAGAGAGAGAGCGAGAGAGAGAGAGAGGGAGAGAGAGAGAGAGAGAGAGAGATAATCAAATTGTAAGAATTGTAAAATATATTTAAAGTAGTTGCAAATCTTTGAAGAAATTACTGGATTTGAACGGATTTTTCTAATAACAATAAAACACTAAAGTATGAAATTTGTTTGAACTTTTCTATAAAGCCAAAGGCAGCCCCTTGCCCATCTTCAGGGCCTTTGAAAACGATTTCAAAGGAATATGTTGTATACATTTATTATAATTAATTTTTAATCTAAAGTGAAAGCTAAAAAGCCCAGGGAGTATTGAAAAAATAACACATTTAAATTTAATTTTAAAAATTTATTAAAATAATTGAATATAATTTTATTAAATTAAATCTAATTACAATATTTGCCTGGGTTCAATAATGCTATTACCATATACTGTATATATTTCCTTTATTCTTTTGCAACCAGTATAAACAAGGTTAATGCCAGATTTCATTAACAGGAATTGCTTCTCCCCCACAGTCTAGGCTATTAACAGAATTATGTTAATAGCATAACCCCAACTCCAGTTCTTCCACTGGTTCTTTGAGCCTTTATCGCACTTCTTATCTGCACATTATAAATTATGCGAATAACACAGCTTCTCCTATATAACATTAAAGAAAAGGAAATATCGACTCTAAATCATTTTTATGATAGAAGAATAACATAACAAGTAAATATCATTTAAATGCTAGCTTCACCTCCAACAGCTCTCACATTGCTAAACTTGATGAGTTCGCATATTATAAAGTGCATGTTCAGTGTGAATAAGTGAATGGTCGCTAGCACAGGCAAACAAAACATTCATGAATATAGCACTCGACTTGCTCGAACAGGCGCGACTTTTTCTGTTACTTTCAATGGAAAGTTGTTCTACACCTTTAGCTAATTGGCGGGTCATTCCATGTGGAAATGTCGAGCGAGCCGACCCATTAAAACTTAAAGTGTAGCATGCCACATTACACATACGTACCGTAGTACAGAGCAGCAGTTGAGTCTATCTCCCTCTCTCTCTCTCTCTCTCTCTCTCTCTCTCTCTCTCTCTCTCTCTTGCACTTGCCTACTTGGTCATCAATTTACATGCCACACACGCATAGCGAACTGCTGCACTTGCCTTTCTCTCTCTCCCACTCTCACTCTCAGTCTATCTCTCTCTGCCTGCATTTACGCCAGTTGCTGCTGTTATTTATGGCCAACGAAAACTGTCATAAGCAAACAAATTGTTTTTTATTGTTCATAATTATTGTGCATACTTATGTAAATCACGCGACGCATTTCGACTGCGCGTTGCATGCACCCCGGCCGAGCCACAGAATGTGGCAAGCGCAACTAGTTGCTGTTGCCCCGCCGCTCTGTTGCTGCTGCTGCTGCTGTTGCTGTGGTAGAGGCAACACAAAAAAAAAAAAAAAAAAAAAAAAAAGAAATGGTTTGTTTTATTGAATTTTTATTGTAGTTTGAATTTATGACGCAACGCGCTAGCAGCCCGTCGACTGGATTAGGGTATTTCTTTGCCAGCTCTGGTAGCAGATGACTTTATCGGCTTTTTGCTGCATTAAATCGCAGCCGAACTGTTAGCCTGAGCCCATCATGCCCCGGTCCGCCCCACCCCCACAGCCTCGCTGTTTGTCTGGCAATTTTGTTGAAACAACTTCAGCGTTTGCGTCTGTGTGCGTACGTGCCACTGAAGTGCGCTCGACTCGCTACGCAGGACTCTGCGCTCTTCGCCCAGCGCTCAGCGCTCTGCTCTGCCAGATTAGCTTGGCAAAACCGCAGACAACAGCTGCCATGGCAGAGCTGCCTGCTGAGGCTGGGGCCATGGGCTGATCTCCCCACATTCGACCACCCACTCTTCCGCTCTCCTCTCTCCCCTGTCTCCCCTCTCTGTCTGTTTCTGTGCAAGTGCCAAAGAGGCGGCACGGCATGAGTTTTTCGCTTTTCGCTCGTTTCAGTATTTTTTTTTTTTTTTGCGTCCTGTTGGTTTTTGTTGAGCCTTGAAGCGTGTGCATGTGAATAATGTCCAGCAATTGGCTTTAGAGTTGGGGTTTATTGGCGCTTGTGTGTGCCACAGACGACGTCATTTATTTATGAGGGCAAACGCGCGCGCGAATTTTTATGAAGACCGTAACAAAAATTAGTAACTTTTGCCAGGCGCTGATTCTGTTGGCTGGAGTTGCTCCTCCTCCTCTTCCTGCTCGTCCTACTGCCCGTCCGTTTTTCATGACTGCTCCCTGACATTTCATAAACTTTCGCTTATTGATTATTTACCACATTTACTGTTACTGTTGCTGTTGCTGTTGCTGTTACTGTTACTGTTACTGTTGTTGTTGTTTCATCCTGTTGCTTTTGTTTTTATTTGCAGAGAGCTTACGCGATTATTTTGGACGCTATGGCGATATCTCTGAGGCAATGGTCATGAAGGATCCCACGACACGCAGATCCAGGTGAGTTTAAGCCATCCAAAATTTGTTTGTTAGCTGTGAAAGAGGTTAAGATGAAGGGTTTGGTTTTTTATGAGGTCAATGAAGAAGGTAAAGTCTTACGTCTTTGCTTGAGCTCTACAGAAAAGGATGTAACTGGCGATTTTATGTATATGCCTGGATTGATTCTCCCTACTGATTGCTGCCTTTCATTTCATAGAAGACTCTATAGATCTTAGCCTTGGCATTCTGAACATCAGAAACTCTATCTAAATTCAGCTTTAAGTAATTTAGTAAACTAATTTCATAATTGGTTTCGACTCCATAGCTTGATTGAAATTTGTTTAGTGCACTACTTTGCAAACAACTCATATTATATAATTTTCAACTTAGCAGGAAGTTAACTCAACTTTAACGTAAAGCTTTTACCTTCACTTTTCACATTTCGGCAATCAAAGATATTTCACTAGGGAAACTTTGACTATTGCAGCTAAACGAAGCTGATGCAACTCAGTTTTCGCTTTGTCTTTTTTAGCTGCAGTTTGACAGAGCTAAAATTTATTATAATAAATATTGAGCTGTTTGCAATAAATTAAAAATAATAAAAAAAACTTTTTCATGTGCCATCAAAATATTTTATTATGATATAATTATTATTTAGATTTTTTTGCAATGCTAGAAATATTTGAATTAATGTTCCTAACTACTTTGGTAGTTTTATTTTATTTTATTCATATATTTATTTTTTAAGTAATTTACTTTATTAGCTCACTTTTGGCCTGCTTTAAAGTTGGCTTGAAGTGCTGTAAATAAAAATTTCAAAAACATAATTGAAAACTTTGCTTATTGAAATTAGTTTCAGGGTTAGTCAAGGCTTTGAAATGCAAACATAATCTATTCAAAACGGCTTGCAGCTGTAGTTGAGGCGACTCAAAAGTGAGCCAAGCTTGCTATACTCGTTCACTAATGGAAACAGAGTATATTTGTACAATGTTCATCTAGCTGTTTGTTGGATTACCCATAGGAAGTCTTAAAATTTCACTGTTTCTATGTATAGCAAATAGTCAAAGAGTAAAATGAAATCTTTCTAAACTCCACTCTCCTTTCTATAGAAGCTGCTCTCTATAAAGCAACCATCATTGTCATCTCAGATCAAGCACAGTCAACAAAGTGTATTCCCAACTCTTTTCTATACCCAATTCCCGCATTCCTTGCTCTCATATCTATTTTTTACCAATTCCGTATCGATTTCTATTCCCATATATTCAATTTGCAGCGGAGAAAAAAGGGGATAGAAGAAGCAGAGATATCATACCTATAGCACTGTAATTGTTTTCATGCCTTGCGTTTGGCTATCTGACCAGACTTTGATTATTATTCTGGTAAATCTCGGTGACCGCGTTTACCTTTCCAGCTTTTGTTATTGACGCTACTCCCTGCTCTGCTCTGCTCTGCTTTGCTCTTTCGACTACAAATTTCCATATCCGTTTTTGCTCTGTTTGTTGTTGTTGTTGTTGTTGTTTATGACCATGCGCGACTGCATCCATTTCCAAATTTGAACAGTTTGGTTAACCGCTAATTGGTTTTCATTTTCATTGATTTTCCCCTCTTTTTTTCCTTGTTGAGTCCACATGATATATGAGTGTGTGTGTGTGGCAGATACCCTCGCTCGCGCGTGTTACTCGCTCTCCCTTTCCGCCCCCTCTCTCCACCTCTCTTTCTCCTGTTGCAACTGTCTCGCTTGTCGTGCGTGTTGCCGTGTGTTGTGTTTATTCGAATCGTTTGTCATTTGTTGCGGTTTCGATCAGCTTTTGGTTGACTGCACCGAGGCCACCTGCCACAGCCACGTCCCGCTCAATCAGGCCGCCCTTTCATTACATTTTTTTTTTTAATTTTTGTACTTGTTGTTGCTGCTGCTGCTGCTGCTGCTGCTGACCTTATTTAAAAATGCTTAACGTAAATTAGCTGGTTTTTGCGGACGGTATGAATAATGAGCGGCGTTTAATGAGTCAATTGCAATTGAATTTGAGCTGCGATAATCACGAGCAGCAGCAGCAGCAGCAGCGGCAGCGGAAGCAGCAACAATGACAGCTTGTAAATGAACTTAACGACTTTGTATGTGTGCGTGCGTGTGCCTGTGTGCGTGTGTGTGTGTCTGTCACTCAAATTAAGCGTTTTATGGCGGCGCACGTGGCGTATGCGCAATGTGAGCACACGCTAAGCGTAGCGCGTGCGAAAAGTTAAGCGCATTCCTTGCCCTTTTCCTTTTTTTCCCCCTCTCACTCTCTCTCACTCTCTCTCTCTCTCTCCCTCTCTCTCTCTCTTATCTTAGTTCCTTTTTAAGAAGTGCTGGCAGCTGGTATGCCGTAAGCGAAATACATCCTTGTTTTAATTGAATTTCATCTAATGTCCTGTGCGCCGCTGAATGGGTTGGCAGCTGCTCCACTCAGGTTAACAAGCAGGCGCCTCGGCTCTGCAAAACTTTATGCCACATTCTTTAACTACAGCTGTGAGTGCTGCTGTTGTTGTTGTTGCTGTTGCTGCTGTTGCTGCTGCTGCTGTTGCTGCCATGTGTCCTTTGCCTTTGTGCATGTCACGTTGGCTGGCAAAATTTTTATGAACTGCGTGCAGCAGCGACAGCAGCAGCAGCAGGAGCAGCTACAGTAACAACTCCACTGATTCCCAAAGCAGGCAGCGCCATTGGCTGCTGTCTTAACAGCAACGAGCACAGCGAGGACAACGAGGCTGAGGCTGAAGCTGAGTCTGAGTCTGAGGCTGTGTCTGATGAAATCTACGGGCTCTACGGGTAGTTGTTGCTTGTAAATTCCGCAGCTCTATTTGTTGCCGCTGCCGTTGTCGTTGTCGTTGTCGCTGCTGATATCATCGTGTCAGGGATTTCTAGCAAAATTTAATAAAAACTTTATGTCGCTTAAAAGAATGTTTATGGAAATTTTTCACTTAAACTTGCGCAAAGTAATAAATGTAAACAGAATTCCTGAAAAGGTGCGACAACAAAATTCAAACTGAGAGCAACAGCAACAGCAACAGCAACGACAACGGGCAACAAGCTGCACACTAAGTTGCTGTTGCTGTCGCTGTTGTTGCTGTTGTTGTTGTTGCTGTTGCTGGTGGCGCCGCAGCGAGAGTCAACAGTGCGGTTAATAAATATGCGCACCAGGGCAGACATTTTACCGCTGGCAAAGAAAGCATTGCATGCGACTAGGCAGCCTCCTGCTCCACCTTCTCCTCCTCCTCCACTTTCTCCTCCTCCTCCTCCTCCTCCTCCTCCTCTCTCTCTCTCTCTCTCTGCTCGCCTGTTGCTGGCTTAGATAGAACAAGCAGTCAGATAGATTGAGATACATGCCCAACACAGATATGGCAGGCGGCACTTTTGTTCACTCTCTTTATCTCCATCTCACTCACTCTCTCTCTCTCTCTCTCTCTCTCTCTCTCGCTCTCCCTCTCTATCTCTATCTGTGTGCAAATGAGATTGTATATTACAATAAAATGGAGTGAAGTACAAATTAGAAAACTTGCAAATAAATTTAAAAGCACAAAATGAAAACAGAACAACAACAACAACAAGAGCAACAGCAACTGGAATAAATAACAAAAAAAGGAAAGAAAAAGCAGCTCACAGAGCAAAGCAAATGGCAAACAAAACACATTCAAGCGGAGGCATTAGATAGAGCGGGTGCTGGGAGCTGCGAGCTACGAAAAAAATAGCAAAACTTTTGCAACTTAAGCGAGTTTTTGCTGTTGTTGTTGTTGTTGTTGTGGCAGCAGAGACAAAGCGGGTCGCTGAAGTGCAACAACAATAAAAATTGAGTAAAATGGCAAATGGCAGCTGTAGCAGCGCCTCCAGCCCCCAAACACGCCCCCAACAGCAGCAGCAGCAGCAGCAGCATAAGTAAATCCAAACAATTTATTGTTGTACTTTTAACATTCTTCTCATGCGCATTGTTGTTGTTGTTGTTGTAGTCGTTGTTGTTGTTGCCTGCCACCATTGAAGCAAACATAAGCGACTTTTCAATGAGTTTGGAAAGTTATTGAAACATAAATTATATCGCACGGCGCACGCACGCCAAACGCAGAGACCCGGAGACCCGGAGACCCGGAGAGCCGGAGACCCGGTGCCAACAACCACAAGCAAGCCCACAAAATACGCCCGAAAGCAGCAGCAGCAACAACAGCAACAACAACAATAACAACAACAGCAACATCAACAAGAGGAACAACAAATATAACACCCCTTTATGACTGCCAGGCATTTAGGGGTTGGGGCCAGTCGGTGCTGGGGCTCGGGTGCTCCAAGTGGAGGGCATTTGCCACCTCTCACGCATTTTTGTGAATGGCAATTAAGTTAAATTTTTCTTTCTCTTGTTAATGTTTTCCCATGCCCTTACCCAAAAGGTCAAGGCTTAACACATTTCTCATGCAGCTTGCAACGCCGTCGAAAGTTTCCCTCAAATTGCTGTCAGCGAGCATAAAGAGACGCTGTGAATGTTATTGTGCACCAAAAAGTGGCGCAAAGTGGCATAGTGCTTAAGCAATAAATTTGAATTTTATTTAATTGCATACGAGAGGGGGCGGGAAAAGGTGTGCAACAGAAGAGAGAGAGACAGTATGAAAGAGCATGTTGAAATTGTGGATAGGTAAAGTAAGATAGATTGTTCAACTGATTCTGATCTGATAGCTGAAAATAAGCCGCCTTGAGTTCGAAATCCCAAGTGGTTTTAATGCACTATAATATACAAGAAGATCTCTCATTATGATCTTCTTGTATATTGCATTGAAAGCTAACATGCAAGCTCTTATTTTGATTATCTCTCCCTCTTTCACCTTTCTTACATACAATGCAGTAATTGGTATACCAGAGAAGCGATTCTTAAAACTTTTTGAGGCTAATAATATATGGATTCGTATACGAGAGCGAGCTTACTAAATTGTAGACTTCTTCCTTAAAAGAAATTTTATGCTCTTTATCAATTGTTATTTAATAATATATATGAATAATATATGAC